ACTACAACTTTTGTAGTCTCAAAAAGCGGACACTACAAACTTTGTAGTCAAGATAACCTTTTGACTCTAACCCTAACTATGTAGTCTAAGTCCACGCTTTTGTAGTCTAAGTTCGACTTTTGTAGTCTTTTGTAGTGTATTAGTAAACTTTGTAGTCTAATTTCGATTTTTGTAGTCTTTTAGAGTGTATCAGTAAACTGTGTAGTCTAACAGTAAACTTGGTAGTCTATATCTGATTCTTATAAGTAGTACAGGATGCACCTTCCTTTTTTGGTCACTTTTCCCATGATACAATAATTGTAGCCCTTTCTTTTAGCTTTCTGAATATACTGAAATCACGTTATTTGGTTTTGTTTTCATAGAGAAAAACACAAAAAAAAAAAAAACACAACGCTTTTGAAATTCCTTTACCTCATATCTCCACAACAGGAGCACTTCAGAACATAATTCAAACAGATTCGGGAAGCTACAGTGTAGGGCTACAACTTTCGTTTTTGACCATTTTTGGTAATTGGTCATGTGACCACCCTCCAGGGAAGCCCATTGCATGGACCCTGACATGTGGGATACATTTGAAAAATCGCAATGAAATGCCCAGGGCTCCATCTGAAAAATCACAATGAAATGCCCGGGGCTACATTTGAAATTTTGCAATGAAATACCCAGGGTATCTATTGAAAAATCACAATGAAATGCCAAGGGTATCTATTGAAAAATCACAATGAAATGCCAAGGGTATCTATTGAAAAATCACAATGAAATGCCAAGGGCTCCATTTGAAAAATCGCAATGAAATGCCCAGGGCTTCATTTGAAATTTTGCAATGAAATACCCAGGGTATCTATTGAAAAATTGCAATGAAATACCCAGGGCTCCATTTGAAAAATCGCAATGAAATGCCCAGGGCTACATTTGAAATTTAGCAATGAAATACCCAGGGATACATTTGAAAAATCACAATGAAATGCCAAGGGTATCTATTGAAAAATTGCAATGAAATGCACCAGGTATCCATTGAAATTTTCCAATGAAATATCCAGGGATACATTTGAAAAATTGCAATGAAATACCCAGGAATACATTTGAAAAATCGCAATGAAATACCCAGGGATACATTTGAAAAATCACAATGAAATGCCAAGGGTATCTATTGAAAAATCGCAATGAAATGCACCAGGTATCCATTGAAATTTTGCAATGAAATATCCAGGGATGCATTTGAAAAATCGCAATGAAATACCCAGGAATACATTTGAAAAATCGCAATGAAATACCCAGGGATACATTTGAAAAATCGCAATGAAATGCCCAGGGTATCCATTGAAAAATCGCAATGAAATGCACCAGGTATCCATTGAAATTTTGCAATGAAATATCCAGGGATACATTTGAAAAATCACAATGAAATGCCCAGGGTATCTATTGAAAAATCGCAATGAAATATCCAGGGCTGCATTTGAAATTTTGCAGAAAATGCGCTGGGTATCTATGGAAAATTCACTATGAAATACCCAGGCCTACATTTGAAATGCCTTTCAAAAAATCCTAAGCATTATAGATATGGCCTCTAGGCTTAAGTCTAAGTTATAGAAATGACTCTCTAGGCTTAAGTCTAGGTTATAGATAAAAGTGGTAGCCACCAGTCAATCTATATAGCAGAGGAATGAGCAGGAGAGACGAAAGACCATCAGAGCTCCAAAATGGGAGATTGTTTGATGGTGTTTATCTCTAAGGCTACGACATCCAACATGTGTCTCTCCAATCCATCGATTTCCCCCCCCCCGACGGAGGCGGAAAGTGGTGGAGAACAAGTGTCAATACGCCAACATATATCTGGTATATTCTATTCAACTTATATCGCGGAGAAATGAGTGACAGAGAGGAAAAACCATCAAAGCTCCAAAATGGGAGATTGCTTGATGGTATTTACACTGATGCCCAAATAGAAAAACAACAGAGAGAGATGAAATATCATTTGCATTCCAGAAAGGGAGATACCTTTTAACAATTTATATACAGGACAACAGAAATACAGTAAAATGAGACACCAGAATGACCTGCATAGAACCAGGTGGGTATAGGCACTCCCTGGGTCACAGGGAAAACTGCATTAGTCCAGGAAATAAGGCCTATGCCTACAGCCATGGGTGATGTAGTCTTCAATTCGCATCTCTGACCGACTCCATAGTGGGTCTTCACACCTTATCTCGTCAGACTTTCGGGTCACACGACGTTAGACACAGTTGGACCCTCACAAAGGTGGACACTGTGGGATCTCGTCGACCAAACTGGTGAGTATTATCTCTCCAAATTATTTTGCTTTACTAAGAAACAATCCCCTACCATTCCCTCACCCACTTCATCACCCGAGCCCCAGTACAACTTGTACCCCTTCAAAGGATCGGACTCCCGTTCACTCTCCAAACCGAGTATGTTCAGCAAACAACCCCGCAACATCTCATCTCGATCTTCATCTTCATCAACTATGTCCATCACACGTCAACTAAACATCGTCGATGGAAGCAAGCTGCCCCCAGGATTGAATAAGCCCATATCGCAAACAATCGCCATACCCACCGTAGCCACAAGTCCCATAACTGTGGAAGGCTTGCTAACTACACCAAGGGAGATCACAACGGACACCTCATCCAGAGTGGAAGGAAAAAGGAAACTATGGCAGCCAAGCGACTTGAGTCCTCTCTCTTTCAATCCCCTTGACAGACCACTGGTATTTGTCACTCCTCCTCTGAACTCCATTCAATTCCACTCCCTGCCCAAACAATTTTGACCAAATTCAGAAGCTGACACTGCTTTCAAAATTGATGTTACCACTATGCTTCAAGAAGCAGAGAGTACCCCTCGTCCCTCGCAATACAGCGTAGGGGCATGGAAAATGGGTATTCCCTTTCTCCCATGTATAGCCTATGGCTGGAATACTGTGACGAAGGAGAGAGTTCGAAATCGACTCAGTCCAGAGTCATGTTCTATGCCACCAAACCTTCCTTGGCATGAGACGAAGTCATAGACAGAGGGCCGGGATCACCAACCCAACATTACATGGTAGATAAAACCCTGTTCGAGCAGATTGTTCGTACTGTAAACGAACTCCAAGTTTTTATCCAACATATGGCTGGTTTAATAGAGGAAAGAACTAAGTACTTTCAAGTAGACCCTGATGATACTCTATTGAAAGTCTTAGAAGGAGCGGAAACTACAAGTTAGCTACACGCAACATGGCTCTGTCTGACTAGTAGGTTAGGAGCAGCCCAAAGATTCATGCTGAAATATCAGCAAGAATACCAGAACACTTCCATGCTGTCCTCACCGGTTTCGACAAACCCCGATATTCATAAGTATATTTCAGAATTATCGGACATAGACGATAAGTTACAGTACATTCATGGCACCATTCGAGGTCTTTACCTTCCCCAGGTTATTCCATATGGAATCCATGGAATCAATGTTGGCTGAGGACCCAGCCATTTTCTTCTTCCATGGACAACATGGAATCCATGTGGAATGATGATGGAATGGCCATGGAATGATTAATTCCATATGGAATTACATGGATTCCACTGGATTCCATATGGAATGCAGACAAGTCCATATGGATTCCATGGATGACCATTATACCATTAGAATACAGTATTTATAGTGTCCTTACTATATTTAAGTAAAATATAATTTTTACATTTAAGGGAATTGAACTCTCAACCTTGTCAATATTAGCAGCGCTCAAGCCAACTGAGCCATGAAGGCATTATTACATGATGAAGTAAAAGTATGTATATACCACTTTCCATCACGTGGCGTCTCAAACATGACAGCTGTGGCTGACGCATTTCCACATTGTTTCTTCCTTCCACCACCACCATCACCATCCACTCCACCATCTCAAGCCACAACCGCCTGCGACATCGACGTCGATGACCACCACCACCACCACCACCACGCTGACAACGCATGACGACATGCAATGTCGTCAATGACCACCCCGCCACTACAAGAGCCACACGATGTGGCAATGCCATGTCACACGGATGGGAGGCGACAACGACAACACGGAACGTCAATGGACGTTCCACCTTGACTCCAGTCCGGTAAGCTGACTGGGTAACCCCCCCAGTCCATCTTTTGACAACAACAAACCAGATGCCACGTCGCGGTCAGTGACATGGCAACCAGACGACGAATGGACACGACAACTGACAAGCCCGCCCACCCACAAACAACACACACGGCCCCACACGACCCCCACTGCCCATGAGTGCCCACAAAACGAAACGAGCACCCAGACACGACACCGAACAATAGGAAGTCACCTCAGCTACAGAAACTCGAAGCCACACTTCAAACCCCTGCACAGAGTAAGTCTTCTACTTGGTGAGGATTCAAAAATCTGACTGCCAGCAAGTTACAAACAATGATGTCCAAACTGTCCAAACTCCCTCTACTTAATAGTTAGTAGCATACATGTATATTTTTTGGACAATCTTCAATTTTTTTTTGGGCTTATTTAATATGAAGTCCTGTGGTGGACATAATAATGAAAGCAGTAAGGCCTCGGCTTCTTTCATGACCCAGTAAACTGTGACTGGCAGAGAAAAGCGGAGGGATCTTGGAGCAACTTTGTCCAATGGAGACCAGCATAGTAACAGCTTGGCATTTATTTCAGGCAGCCGAGTGTGGTTGTTTGAGCCAGACACGTTCCAACATGGGTATGTTTACAAGAAACATTGGTCGGTATAAACTTGGTAGGGATTTTGAACCGGGGGTGTGCATAATATATCTCACTGCCTCAATGTATTGGCAGTAACTGTGAACGTCACTGTGCTCGGCTTCTTGCGAAGTCATGGACCCAGTAAACTGCATGACCGAATACTGGACCATGACTGGCAAAGAAAAGCCAAGGTAATGTTTGAGCAACTTGGCAAATAAAACCTGAGTGAAAACGAAACTCGGCTGTATAGTGTCAACTGGATGGGACCAGGTTGGGCTGATCCACGCTGCATGGGATTCAAAGCTCTTCAGCAGACCCATGACACATGAGCCCATTCCATGAAGAGACAGGTTGACCCAGGATCCAAGGCATATTTAATTCATGGGGTACTAGCTGACTGACCATGTCACCGTGCTCGGCTTCTTGGTAGGTGATGGACCCAACCCAGTAAACTGCATGATGACCGGCAATGAAAAGCCAAGGTAAACTTGGCAAATAAAAATGAGACGGCTGTGGGCTGATCTACAATGCATGGGATTTAGAGCTCTTCAGCTGACCCATGACACATGTTGAGCCCAATCCATGAAGAGATCGGTTGACCCAGGATCCAAGGCATTTTTAGCTATGTCAATTCATGGGGTACACTTCTCAGCCGATGCACAGTACCAGTCCTAAGAGAGTCTTGATGGCTGGTCCACCTTTGATGGGGTCAACTGATCCATGGGCTCATCAGCAGGCACCATCAACTATGGTCTGTTTGTATGGTCAGGGGGCTCAGTATTAGTGGGGTAAGGTAACTAATACCTGTGGTGTTTTCCGGTTTTTTAATGCAACACGTAATGAGCCAGTCAACATAGGAATACATATTGCCTTTAGTAACTTTATTGAAGATTTCTTGAGCTCTGGTGATTATGGTGAGCGCATCAGCACTAAATTCCGAATGGCCATCAATATAGGGTCTGGTCTGTATCAACAGTAAGCACACCTGTAATCAGGGTCACCCTCAAGGGCGTGCGATTCATTGGCTGGTGCCTTGGATTGACCCTTGTTCAAGTTGATGGGCAGAGCCTTTTTCTTGTAGCGGTTACGCTCGTGAGTGCAAATAAGGCTACAGTTTCTGCGCCTGTGAAATGTTAACAAGAAAAGGTGTAGATAATAATATAGTTGTACTTCTCATAATACTTTTTCAAGTTGGCGCATCAAGCAGCAGCCTTCTCCTCGCGAGTGTGGTAGAGGTGTTGACGACCCATGTTGGTGCTAGAGGTGAGAAGAGGTATGTGATTGTGTAAGTAGCTAGTTCATAGCTAATATGATTCTTACGACTTTTTGTCTCTGGCGTGAGCAATTCAACAGCTTTAAAGAAACGGCTTTCGGTTTCAGTAAGGTGTTGAAAATCTGATTTTAACAAGCCCAAAATCAAGAATTTTGGCTTGGGGTAATGGAGGCCATAGTCCAATTGACATTGATGGGTGCTCTGGCATGCGAGTTGAAAGGCGGCCCAAAGCTCAATCTTTTGACTTTTTGAAAATTAGTGTTTAGCTTGAAAACTTTTCACTGTAGGGTGTGTTCATATCTTAAGAGTAACGCTTTCCAAGGAATAAGGAAACAGGTGGATATTGGGAGCTGTATAGTAAATTTTAGTTATGTTCTCGAGCACAGAGACCTCTGTCTATTTTTAGACACCGTCGTATGGACTCTTTCAACATCGCATTCGCAAACTCCCTCTTATATTTTTTAATCGTGCATCTAGACAATAAAAAAAGTCAAGTGAGAACCCAACATTCAGGGTTTCAAACCATGCACAACCGCAGGATTTGACAATCAGAACTCGGTCAACAAAAGAGTGCAACACAAGTCATTTTTTCATTTTGAGCTTGTTTTATTCAGGCATAAGTCACAGACAAGAGGTCAAAATCAACAAATATATTCAGCGGTAGATGATAGTACAGATTACGACAGTCAGCGACATGAGATCAAGAAAAAGTGGATGTGTTCCAGTAATCTATGCGAGGTACACTGCAAACACGGAAGTACGAGCCATCGTCATCCAGTTGTGTCCCTCAGCAATGCTTCCAACACACGAAAAGACAGCGTGACTAACGCCAGTAACTAGGGGCAAGACATTTTCCCTAAACGCGTGCATTAGCCCTTGATCAAACAGATAGTAGGGAATACATACCATCCACTAAAAATGCCAATGTTGCAGCCTCGAGTAACGACATAGAAAGGTGGATTGTCATTGGGTCCTGGAACGTGATAACCGTGGCTGACAGTGACCAGGTGGGGAGGGGGCAACACGGCATTCGACGGTACATTGGGTGGAAGTTGACTGTACAGGGGAAGTGCAGGGCCAACCGCTGCTCCAACAGAAGCTGTGGTAGTGGTGGTGGTGGTGGTGGCGCCATTTGCAACAATGGGGGTAGTCATGGCTGTAATGGATGCAGCAGCAGGGGGAACAGACGCTGCAGCAGGGGAAATTGGAACAACGACAGGAGAGGAAGCTGGTGTAGGCGCCCGAGTTTCCGCAACTGCGGTGGTGGACGCGATGACAGAAGATGGTGCAGAACCGGCATCTGTGATGGGTGCCTGAGTTCCTGCCATTGAGAATGCACAAGTGGCACATTGGAGCAGCAGAAGGGAGGGAGCATCACCCTGGTCCTCATCCTCGGAGTCCTTGAAGTCTTCGTCACTGGCAGAATGAGAACTGGCAGCATTGTCAGTGGCCAAGAGGGAGAAACAGGGCAGCGCAGAAGGGCTGGAGCTGGGGGTCGTGTTGAGAATGGTGAAGGCGTGGACAACCTGCTGGGTATCGGCAGGGGACAACTTCAACAAATTGAGTGCATTTTCAATGTCTGAAATGGGGTGTCAGAGGTTGTCCTGGAAGGAACGACGAGAGTGGGACCCTTACCAGTCATCGTGGATGATGAAGTGGTTGCTTGCACTTCACAATCAGTGATGTCGGTCATTGAGAACAAGTGTTGACAGGAGGGGTAGCAAAAACATAGATGGTGTTGAGACGTGGATTGACAGTTGGGATGAAAAACTGAATATTGAATCCTTACATTGAGGCAGTTTTTAAAGATGAGATGGGGCTTCTGACAGTATTCCCACAGTGAAAAAAAAAAGCTTTAAGGACGACTGATCCATACGTACCTATACGCTTCTGCTTCCCTCCTGCCCCACCTCCCCACCTAAAAGCCAAACCAAATGAGCGATAACATTGACACTGGTGGTGTGTAAGTGCACGGTTGAGCTTGTCTTTGTTTTTTGTTGGGACTGATGTTATTCTGGGAATATTCAGGGTTGCTGCACAGCCACAGCTCTGTCCGCTCCTGTGTAACTGGGCCAAGGGAGAGTGCCTCGCTTTTCTTGAGGGGTACATCTCTGACTACAAGGAGGGATTGCTTAGCAAAAAAAAGTCTGCTTCTATTCTCGACACCATCGTAAACCAATGGTTCACCCACTTCCATTGGTCCATTCCACTTTCTGCCAATGATAATGCAACTGCCACTGTCTTCGCTCTCGACAGCCAAGGCCATGAAATCTTGGGTTCAGCCGACTCGATTCTCAAGGGCCAAGTAATCGAACGGGCGCATACTGTACGTGACCTTCAATGATTGATCAAAATGTATTACACTAAAAGTTTTTTCTTTCAGTCTCTCTACCATTGGTACGAATACCGCTGCAAACGTACGACCACGCTGCTCCCTCGTCCATCCAAAGGGAAGAAGGATAACCTGACCCTCCTCATGGAGAAATTTCTCGGGCGAAGTGCCTTGTCGTCTAGGCGTAGCGCAGGCTGGGAGGTATGGGGAAAGGAACATTTCCCATCAATGAAGGCAGACTTTGAGGCGGACTTCGCTGCAAGCGGTAAACCCAAATCAGTGTGTGCGAGCGCTTGCAATGAGTTCAAATTAGCGTGATGGAAGGAGCTTGACAAAGAGATGCAGGAACATTGGAACGAGACCGCCAAGACAAAGCACGCCATGACCAAAAAAGCAACACAGGATCAATTGCAGAGTTCAGGGCTGCTGGAACCAGCAGAAGCTCAAGCATGAGTGTCGTATATTTTAAACTCAACACAATCTGATCTTTTAACCTACAGTGTTTACAACGAGCTGCCCAATCTGTTTGGAACGTTAATCCATGTCATCGGCAAGGCAGTTGGTGCGGGAACCTCTTCAGGGATTGCGTATGATGACGCGGTCCGTGTATCTATCAACGAAGCGATCCTGGCGAGCTGTAGTGTATGGATAGGTTTGCGTTATGGTGTGAGACCCTTGTTCGAGTATCTAGGAGTTAATCAAGGTCAATCTCTTTACACGAGTTGCTACTTGCTCTGGAATGCCACGAGCGTAGACGAACTCTCCCTTCTCGGAATGCCGCAGAAAGGTGTTAGGAGATTTCCCTCGGGAAAGATGTGCAAACACAATCAGTGCGCAAGGAGAGACACGAGCTCTCCACAGTACGGTATCAACAATTCTACTGACCTTACTTCCGAAACCCCTTGTATACCCGTGATTGAGTCATGAGGACGATGCTCAAGTGCGCAAGTCAGAACAGAGATGATGGTAAAGTTAGATGATTTGTTTACATGTGTGACAAAGTGATATGTACTCGAATGTGACTACTGTGATTGCGTGACGACAGGACTCCCTGAATTGGCATATGGATAGGTAGCGTTGGATAGGAAATATCGTAAGGAAGGGAATGAGAGAAGCTGTAGGCTTAGGTGTTCGTGCCCTGTTACAGTTGGTATGCATATCACAGTCCTGATCGGTGGTCCTGAACCAAAAAGAAAGGGGCAGCTGAACATGGTTGGGTAGGTTCAATATTTTATACCATTTTTGGTGTACTAATGCAGGTTCAGTATTCATGCCAGCAAAAACAAAGCCCCCATCCCAAAAGTGTGGGCACATGCCGAGAAAGAGAAATTTGCCACAGTCTCAGAAGTGTTCCTGAGTTTTCTGTTGACCTGTTACAGTATGTATCCTCTGTTTTACAAATTGTCCATCACTAATTTACACTTTTACCTTACATTAGCTGCCGACGAGCAGTGCGCGCGTGCATTGCCTCAACCAGGAACCGACGCCACTCCTATGCATGCTGGCCCATCCTCCTCGACCCCTGGGCCAGACCCCTCCACTGAAAACTCAACCAAGCCCTCTAATTCCTCGGGGTTAGCAGACAGTGGACGCAAGCAGAAGAGAAGCGCAGAAACGAACTTGAAGAAGGTCCAGAAGAGTCGGCTCAAAGCCAAGAAAGGTAGTATTGCAAAGAAGAAGCCAACTAAATGCTGCAAAACAACAGCCGACACTGAGGCATCAGCGACTGATCCTGCTTTGGAGGATTCGGATCCAGAGCACTCAGGGGAGGATGATGACGATGACGAAGATGAAGACAAGGACGAGGGGGATGAGGATGAGGACGAGGATGAGGATGAGGACGAAGATCAGGACGAGGATGAAGATGAGGATGAAGACGAGCCACAGACAATGACCTGCAAAAGCACCAGGAACACAAGCATGGATCCGAGGTGTTGGAAGGGTGCCAAAGCTGACGTTGATACCATCAAGATCAACATCAGCACTGCCTTCCCATCTCCATCGAACACTTCTGCATTGCCATCTCCGCCGACTGCTCATTCCTTGCCGCCCCCCCCAGTGGATCCCCTCATTATCCTGCCTCGCGCTCCTTCCGTGCCTGGCGGCTTGCTATTGGCAACTTCCCCTCCACCAGCTCCTTTGTCTAACGACAGCCCAACATCTGTCTCTGGTGCACAAGCAGATGCTTCTTGGCCTTCGTGGTTCAAAGATGCCCACCAACTCCTTTCCAGCCAGAATTTGGGCCCAGATTTTACGTTGCTTATTGATCAGCTGACAAAGTTTGAGAAACTCACCGACTTCGCACCAGGTGCACGCTCAGCGTAATTTGGGTCAGACAAACGACCACCAGAGGTCCATTATTGGATTTCCCAAGGATGCACGACACAGCCCAAGATTACAAACCTCGCAGATTTCGAAGAGAATTGGTGGAAATGGTGGAAGGGTTTACAACCACCATGGAGGGCCATGTCTGAGGTGGAAGGCTCGCTTGACCACACTCATCACCCAGTCTTGACAGGTGGCCGCTATTGGTCGGCAATCGACAAACACGGTCACAACGCATTTTTCTCCATCATGGCAACTCTCTTGTGGTGGGGTACAGCATTGTCAAAGCCACCAACTGAAGATTCCAGCTGGTTGGCTGCCGTTGAAGATGTCCAATGGGTGCTTGACAGGCTATTGGATGTCAAGTAAGTTCTCCTTAGAGGTTATTGACACTTGCTCATATTTTATTTCCTGTAGCTCGCCGCCGGCTCCAACTTCGAAGCCATCAAGGTCACATCGACACTAAGTGAACGCTAGCCGCCTCACCCTCCCCCTCTTGTAGCTCGCCACCAGCTCTAACTTCGCAATGCTAGACAAACACTAGCCGTCTCTCCCTCCCCCCATTTTGGCACCTCTTGAACATCATCTTGGCCACAACTCTTGCAAATTCAAACCCTTTGCGCACTTTGTGTAATCGGACTGCATCATACTTATACTCTAATATACTTACATCTTGGACTGTCAAGTAACTTTTGGGCTCGCGTACTGATGTATTGGTTGATCTATCACATACAATCTCACACTTGCGTTATCTTGGACTCTTGTATACTTACTTTGTGTCTCGCATATTTAATTTTGTCTGATTCTTGTTGTACTTCTTGTTGTACTTATATATTTATTGTTTCTTGTTCTTTGTTTGAATGGACTTGAACACTTGGCGTTGTTGGGCGTACACATGATGCTGATACGTACTTGTCGCTCGTGTAAATTGAGGACAGTTGGAAGATTGGACTTGTTGCTGTCGCTTGTGTAAATTGAGGATGGTTAGAGTGCTGAACCAGATTGTGAGCTACTCATCAGAGTGTACGCCTGAAATGGGAGACAACAGCAGGGTCATGAAAAAACTCCAGGAAGATGAAATAGGGTGTGAGAGGGGATAATATTAAAAATTAAAATAGTGACATACAAACACAGAAGACCAAAAATACGGAAGGAAATATGAGGAAGACATATGGGGATTCTGACAGCTGTATGCGTCTTTTGATGCATGGGGGGGAAGAATTGATGTGATGATGCGATGAAGGGCAAAAATAGACACAGCAAAACATTGCAAAATGTGTATTGATGGTGAATTGAAGCAGAGAACATATTTGCATGTGTTCCGATGATGGAAGTGGTTCCCAGAGAACCATTTCATGAAGAGAAGCTATGGGAAGCAAAAATAGGCACCATAAAATGATGAATTGATGGCTAGATCATATAGAAAACATATATTGATGGTAAAGTAAGGTGGATGACATATTTGCATGGTTTCAGATGATGGAAATGGTTTCTGAGGAATCATTTTGGTCAAAGAAGCTGAGGAAACTAAAAATAGCCACATAGAATGATGTATTGATGGCTAAACCATATGGAAAACATTTCTCCAACATGAAGTACACATAAAACCCAATCTAGGGTTATTTTATCCACATGGACAATACTTATCACTCCTCCACCTATTCCTACCGGACTCCTACTGGACTCCTGGATTCCTACTGGATTCCTACTGGATTTTAACATTCTTTCCAGAAAAGCATTTTCACATATGTCTTAATTCCCCCTCCTACTGGACTCCTACTGAACTCCTACTGGACTCCTACTGGACTCCTACTGGACTCCAATTGAACTTAAACAAAGTGAATGCAATGTTTCAGAGATGGGATTCCTACTGGATTTCTACTGGAGTAACCACTTTCTACCTTATGCCACCTTAAAAGTTCATACAAAGCTGATATTTGAACATAAAATATTATATTGATAACTATAGACATAATTATATACAAAAAGTATTTTACTAGGGAAGGGGGTAGAAGGAAATGGGGGTGGACAGGGAAAGGACAGGGAAAAGGAAGGGGGAAGGGACAGGGACAGGGACAGGGACAGGGACAGGGACAGGGACAGGGGGGGAAGGGATAGGAGGGACAGGGGGAGGGGGAGGGGAAAGGAATGGGGTACATGGAAATGGGCTGAAGGGAGAGGGAATGGGGTACATAGAAATGAAAGATAGGGAGAGGGAAAGGGTATAGGGAAGGGGGGAGGGAAGGG